TTCTAGATGTGTGACCTTGGGTGGATTACTTAACCTGTCTGTATTTCCGTTTTCTCATCTTCAAGGTAAGGCTAATGCGAGTGCTTATCTATAGCTTCCATGTGGACTGAAGATTCATGAGTCAGTGCATGTAGATCACATACAACAGTGCTTGGCACAGAGCAAAACATTCAGTGTTGTTAACTGCTAATATTTTTGCAAATGCTAGATCTTTAGAATCCGTTCAGTGTTGAATTGTAAAGATAAACAAGGCCCATTACGACACACCTGGTAAGCCAAAGGACCTTGTTCTATCCAGAAGCCGTACAGTGTCCACCTACTCCGAGATGCTGGGGAGATATCCCTGTGGGTCCCGAAGGGGGTCAGGAAGGCTATGAGTGTCTGTTTACCTTCTGTCTTGGTATCCCACAACATCCCTCCGTAACACAGCCAGACACGGGGACTCTGGGTCTCACGGCATGTCCTAATGAGAAAATGATTGCTCAGCTTGGCGAAGGGGAACATGTTAAGTCTTTGATGTCGCAACACATAATCATAATAGGCCATCCATCTCAGAGCCAGGCATGCTGGGGCCCTATTGCCAGCAGTTAGCTTTTTGTTTGTTGTCTTCATGGAGGGAATCAGTTCGTGTCAATGATGCTCACACTTGGGCCGGCCAGAATTCTCTTTGGACAAAGAGCAGCGGCCTTTTTAAGGTCCCAACAGGGGGTGAGGGGAGGGGGAGGAAAAGCTGACTGCTTGGAAGGGGAATGTGCTAGCTTCCGTTGAGACAGGGACCTTATTAATCCCCCAATAGGCCAGTCACCTCCTCTACGGTGTCCGGCAGTGGCCAGGCTGGACTTTGAAATGAAGTCTGAGGTCAAGCGTAGCTTTGACCGTGACACCTCCATGATCTTGGCCTCATACTGCCTTACAGGTCAAATGATGGGCTAGGATTAAAAGACAAAACAAAACAGGACAAGAAACCAACCAGCATCCTTTCTTCAAATGACATCCTACTTTGGAGTCTGAGGAATAAAAAAATATATGTCAAGTGTGCACGGGTGGGGATGGGAGTGAGGTCCCAAAGCTCCACCGGCTCCTCGCTGCTCTCACAGCAAGCACGTGCGCTGGCGTCCCGACCGCCTCCGGCTCATCCTAACACGATTTGAAAACCACTGACCTAGATAAGCTCCCAGGTCCCCTCCAGGCCTAACATCCTGTGGCTCTGTTGCCTTTGGTACCAGATTGACCTCCCATCAAAGGAGCAATTATAGGTTCCAGAACAGCACTGCCAATAAAAATACGTAAACCGCACAAGTCATTTCAAGTTTCCTAATAGCCACATTCTGAACAGTGGAGTGAAACTGGTAACATTCATTTTATTAACACCGGCAGATCCAAACAATTCAACATGTGACCAGCGTAAAAATGATGGAGATACTTTACATTTTTTATATGTTTTCAAAATCCAGCATGTATTTTAAACTTAGAGCACATCTCAGCTCATATTTGCAACATTTCAAGTGTTCAGTAGTTTTGTGTGGCAAGAGGCTACCACACTAGAAAACACAGATATGGAACCTTTAACGGCTCAGAGCCTTCCAGTTACAAGGGCAGCCTACCTACGAATTTAAAGGGAAAGACCAGCGGCCTCCTGCATCCAAACTCATGGATAGTGAGAGAGCAGATGGGCCCACTTCTGTCTCCATCACTTCCCCGAATGCTGCAGTGGCCACCTCTTTCAGGGCTGGGGGTCCTTTTATCAGCCCTCTCTAGGCCTGGAAAGTGTCACGGATGTTTCACCACGTTGGCCTCAAGGACCTCAACTGCTTGCCACCTCACTTTGCCATTCCTCACTTCTTCTGATTTGATATCACCTTTGTCCTGGGGTTTATTATTTCTAAGTGTTCTCTAAGCCTGCCTTAATTCTAGGACCTCCAGAAATCCACCTTGACCTGAAGGATTCCTTTGAAAACCTGATTCTCACCCAGTCCCCACCTTCTGCCATCATCACACACACATTTTCATTTGAGTGCACATAAAGGAAGTCGGTTAATTAACATATTTGTTCAACATTATCCCTATTATACCTTATATGACGGCCTAAGTTACCTTCATCTTTTGGATTTAACACACAGCACTTTGCACTGAAAGAAACGATCATTTTCTTATGGTGTTTGTAGGGACAAAGATATGACTGAGTATAATCATGCCAGAACACTAAAATTCAATGAAGATGCTGTTTTTTGGGGACTAAAAGGTTTTGCTGGTTATTTGTATTCAGTTCAGGCTCATAGCCATTGGCTGGCTGGTATTACAAATTTAAATCTAAGGACAGTATTTCAGATAGCATTTTTACATTTCTGACTCAAAAAATAGAAACAAAATCACCTCTTTTTGTAGAAAAAAAGCTTAGAAGAGTAGCAACTGAAAAGATAGCCATCTATAATCTGATTTTTTCCACCACTCTATAATTTGAATATTAAACTATACACTGAGAGATGCCTAGTAAAACAATAATTATATCTTTGTATATGTTGATGTTTATTCCATGTTTCAGGTTTGATAAAGAGTAAGCAAATGTGCCATCATTTTCCAATTTTATAGCCTGGATGGCTTAGATTCTTAGTCAAACTAAATTATAACCACTAGTTTGAAACTATAATAAAATGATCATCTCATTAAATGAGTGGCATTTCTCCTTGAAGTTACTTTCCCCTTCTGGGTCTCATAGGAAAAGCTGTTAAGAACTCTTCTGCAACTGCATAAGTCCCTTCTTCATTTGGGCCTAGATACTGAGGTGTTAGCAGTGAATTTATAGATCATAAGTACCCTTAAACAGAGGCATTCCATTTCCCGAAACAAGGACTTTGCTTTTTTACTGAATACCTTTTATCAACAATCTTTCCTCCACCCCTGAGCACTTGCAGCAGAATTTTTATTAGTTGGGGTATTCCCATTTCACAGATCAATGAATGAACAGAGTGACTCTGGATGGATAGATACAACAGATGAGAGACAGAATCAGGAGTTACACCCAGAACTCTCCAACCCCGAGTTTTTCCCGCCTAATAATGATCTTGGTGAGGGGTGCTTTAGCTATTTAAGCTCCAAAGAGATCCAGGGTAGACCCTTGGGGAAGTTGTTTCCCGATTTGTACAGAAAGTACCTAGAACACAACTTTCCTGGCCAGGACCTGTTGATCCCCAAAGGTGTGAGAAAAAAATGGTGTGCCCCACCACTGTGTATGTGTGTTAGTGTGCGAATGGACTACAAAAATCCTTTCCTGTTTAAGATGAGTGTGTGCATTTACTTCCATTTGAAATACTGGTGTGAAAACGAGACTGTGTGTATATGCATATATATCCCGCCCGGCCCCCTCCCTAGATACCCAAGGGGATTTCTCTGAATCATGCATTGAGCAGAGCTGGCAGATCTAAATTACATGCATATGTCGCTCCCACTTAGCTGACTTATCAGGCCTGGAGCCTGAAGTATGTCTCCGAACACCTTCAATCTGGTCAGAGAGAAAAGCCACAGCCAAAGATTCTATCGTGCTCACTGCACGGTAATCATCTCGCTGTCGCCCTGCCTCTCTGAGCCAGGAGAGGGAGAAAGGAAAGGGATCTTCTTGGGGTTCTTTGATGCAGCCTCTCTGCATTCCATTTCCGCATCTCCACTCCTGTTCGTACCGCCAACAACTTTCCCTCGGCTTCCCCGAGATTTTCCAGACGCGCAGGCAGGCTGGCTTCGGCCCCGCTTCTCCTCCCGACGCGCGCCCCGGCCAGCGACCCCTCGGCCGCGCAAGTCTGGCGCTTTCCACCGAGCTCAGGTCCTTTCCGCCAGCCGCGGCTGCTCCAGAAGCTCCGGGCCGGCTGTCCTCGGCTTGCCAGGGGGCCCTGAGGGGTGGCGGGCACTCTGTGCGCCCGTGGCTGGGCCTGGGGGTCGTGTCGGGCGCAGGACGAGTCCCGGGTTGCCCGGCCTAGGCGGGTGGCGCCCGTGCCCCCGCTCGGGATGCGCCCCCTGGAGCTTCGGGCCCGAGCCAGGCAGCCGCCTCCGAGCAGCCCTCCGCGCCGCCGCCTCGGTGCTCCAGCTCGAGCCGCGGCCAGTAGGCGGGGGAGGCGGGGGCGTGACCGGGGCGCGGACGTCTGCAAGCCAGAGGGCGCCGCGCCACCGCCGCGCGGGGTAGCAGTAGGGAAGCCGGAGGGGCAGCGACATCTGCGGGCGGCCGGCCGGCCGGCGCTTCCCGGCGGCGCGAGGCCGAGAGGGGCGGGCCTCACTGCCCGGGGCCGGCCGGCCCGCTCGCCAGCCGCGTCGGAGCCCAGGCCCCAGCGCACGGCCCCGGCGCGCGGGCTGGAGAAGCGGTGCCCCGGCTGCGCGCCGACCACCGTCCCAGCGCCAGCGGCTCGGCGACGTCGTGAAGCTTGTTAGGGTTTGCCAAGTCACCTGGCGCCGCTCGAAGAACCCGGTTTTCCCGTTGGGGACAGCGATGGTTCTCGTCGTACTTGCCTTTCGAAAGTTATTCCGGCACTTTTGATCATCCGTCCGGAGTAAGAAGGGATCATAAAGAGACAGCGCGGTCTGTCCCCGCGCGAGGGGGGTTCCGGGGGATCCCGTCAGGTGGGCAGAGCCAGCTGGAGCCGGAGCGGCGAGTCGGGCCAACTGACAATTCAGCCCCGGAAAGGGTTAACTGCATCCTGCCGGTTCGGTTTACATGTAAATAAAGAGCAGCTGCTCCGCGCGGGCCCCGGCTGGCCCTTTTTAAGTTTTTGATTGGTTGCCAATGACATCACCGCCCGTGTTATAACACCGAGGACCCGAGGCAGTGTTGGAGCAGCCCTCCTTCAGGAGGCAATGCCACGCCCCCAACTCCTCCCCCTCTGGGCACCCATTGGCCGCGGGCTGCAGTGAGGTAACGGTCAGCATTTTCCGCATTCCTATTGGTCCAACCCGCCGTCGGTCGGCCGCCGGCCCGCCCCCCCCAAACCGTACATTTACAGTCTAGCAAAAGAGAAAGTAACTATGTTGTTGCTGGAGATCAATGAAGCCAAGTGAATGGGGGCTGAGTGTGCGAATCCACACTGAGGCGGAGCGCCAGATGGTGGAGGGCTACACTTATTAATGAAGTAAGTGGAAGTCACTGCGGCTCCCCCGAGAGCCCAGGAGTGTTAGGCGGTGTGAGTGCGTGAGTGCGTGCGTGTGTATGCGTGTGTGTGTGTGTGTGTGTGTGTGTGTGGCGATGCTCACGGGGAGCCACAGCAGGTGAGGTGAATAGCGTTCTGGCTGTTGGCTCACGCCGCTCTGTGCGTTTACTCTCTCTGCAGTCTGTTTGGATTTGGGGCGAAGGAAAAAAAATGAGGTTTGTTGGGATGCTTTGCGGCAGTTTTAAATGCCTGGGGCTTGTTAGTGCGCTGTGTTGCGAAGGGGGGATGTTAGGTGCCCCAGGAGCAGGGAAGGAGCCTTCTGTAACCACTTAATTTTCTTTCCAGCCTCTGCCTAGAGGTGGAGGGACGGCTAGCAAGGGAGAGGGGGTAGGTAGCTCAGTATTTCTCCGGGAGGTTTCCTGGGCCGGTCTGGATGGTTTCACGGGCATATAGACGCCCGACTCTGCTGCAGGGATGCAGATCTCTTTAGACGCTCCGTGCGTGTGTGAGCCGCGCACTCCAAGTGGAGGTGGGGGTCCCAGCCTGTGTCCCCGTGAACACGCTTATGCGTCCCTCTCCAAGAAAATGGACTGTTGATCCTGGGACGTTCCCTAGCAGGTAACACAATAGCAAAGACTTTCACTGCTTGGTCCAGCTGGGAAACAGTTATAGCTTCTGGAATAGTACTTGCTCTTCAAAAAATACTACGCAAGGGAGGGAAGAAAGCAGGAAGGGAGGGCGGGAGGGAAGGGGTTGGATCCTTTGCTCCCATCCAAAGGTGGGTGAGAGAATCCGGAGTTGGGGGGGTCTGCAGATGCGATGGGTGCTTGCCCGTGTGTGTGTGTGTGTGTGTGTGTGTGTGTGTGTGTATTCTGCCTGTGACACTTGGGCTTGATGTCAGAAAATGGTGACGGTCCTGTGTAGACGGGTGATAGATGACATTTTCCCAGACATCTCCTAAAGTTCGTTTAGGTGAGTGACTCTTGCATGGGGTTTGGTCTCCTTTCTGTGTGCATGGTTAATAGGAGAGGAGCCCGCAGGGCCAGTTGTAGAGTACCCGCTGTGCCTTCAGGGAGCAAGGAACTGTCCCTTTGCAGGCGCCCTCTCCAGACAGGAGGTAGACCGGGTGGGCTATACTTCACTGCCCCTTTGAACAGGAACAGGCTAACTGGGAAGTCATCTTTGTGGGATTTATTGCCTCGAAGAGGGGGTATCTGTGTGGGATTGAAATATTATGCACAGTGCCTGCCTCCTGTTGAGAGAAGCTCTGAGATGCATAGTCTTTGCCCCTGGGGAAATGAAGGAGAGAGGAGAGTCAAAGTAGTCCTTTCCTTAAAGACAGGAGTGGGGGTGTGGGGTGAGGGGTAGCAATGGAGCAAATGGTGATGGGTCTGCCAGGGTTGGGGTTTCCAGACCTGGCTCCTTGGCTTGAGGCTTCGTTTTAGGACACCAGTTTGTAACGAAAGGGAAAAAGCAGATTAATGAACAGGCTAAGAGGAAACATGGGAGGTTTAATATGATTGTGTGTGCTTTTCAAAGGGCTCAGTCAAATGGAAAGGGAGACTAGCTCCCAGCAAAAAAAGATTCACTTAGGGGGATACTTTCGTTCTGATTTGCAGAAAGTTGACATCCGCCCCGATGTATATTTAGCTGCTGTATATTTCTGTGAGCCATGCCAGCACTCTTGGTCATTCCTGTGCCTTTGCAGTGGGTAAGGAATTACATGGAAAGTATGCAAGGGTGGACAAATGGGTCTTTCTCAGATAGTTGCACTATACTTCTACCCAGGAGATGAGGCCCAGAATAGATATTCCTAAGAGCTTTCCTTTCTGTCTTCAGAGTTTCTAGTTCTGTGTGCTTTTATACCTTTTCTAAGGTGAACTTTGATGTAGGTCCAGGAAAGGTTGTTCATCAACATATGCATAGACTATACATGTAAGCTTAGTCTTAGTGACCAAACAGATGGGGGTCCTCAGGTTGACATCCTCTTTGAGTCCATAAAAATGGGGTTCAAGCTTCAAGAGCAGCATGATAAAGGGCACTCAGGACGACTTTGCTCAGAGGGATGCAGTGGCCTCTCCCAGGGATTGGATTAGACTGCCTTTTGTGTCACGTGACTTTATTCTTTCTTTCCCCCTCCCCTTCTTTACAGACTGTCTTGAGTTCTTCTTGAATTGCCAGTTTTCAGCCTCCTCATGCCTCCGTCTCCTTTAGACGACAGGGTAGTAGTGGCACTGTCTAGGCCCGTCCGGCCTCAGGATCTCAACCTTTGTTTAGACTCTAGCTACCTTGGCTCTGCCGCCCCGGGCAGTAACAGCCATCCTCCTGTGGTCGCCACCGCCGTTGTGTCCCTAAAGGCTGCGAATCTGACGTATATGCCCTCATCCAGCGGCTCTGCCCGCTCCCTGAATTGTGGATGCAGCAGTGCCAGCTGCTGCACTGTGGCAACCTACGACAAGGACAGTCAGGCCCAAACCCAAGCCACTGCCGCTGGCTCTGCCACCACTGCCATCGGAACCTCTAGCACCTGCCCTGCCACCCAGATGGTCAACAACAATGAGAATGCAGGCTCTCTAAGTCCATCAGGTGGGCTGGGCAGCCCTGTGTCAGGGACCCCCAAGCAGCTAGCCAGCATCAAAATAATCTACCCCAATGACTTGGCGAAGAAGATGACCAAATGCAGCAAGAGTCACCTGCCGAGCCAGGGCCCTGTCATCATTGACTGCAGGCCCTTCATGGAGTACAACAAGAGTCACATCCAAGGAGCTGTCCACATTAACTGTGCCGATAAGATCAGCCGGCGGAGACTACAGCAGGGCAAAATCACTGTCCTAGACTTGATTTCCTGTAGGGAAGGCAAGGATTCTTTCAAGAGGATCTTTTCCAAAGAAATTATAGTTTATGATGAGAATACCAATGAGCCAAGCCGAGTGATGCCTTCCCAGCCACTTCACATAGTCCTCGAGTCTTTGAAGAGAGAAGGCAAAGAACCTCTGGTGTTGAAAGGTAATGCTCCCTTCCCCGGCACACCCCTGATTAGCCTGGGGTCACTTGGGGTTTTCTCATAGAAGTACCAGCATTCTCCTTCCCCTACTTACCTACCAAAGACCAAAATAGACTTCTGTCTTCTTGTCTGCCCTCCCATGCCCTTTCTTAATTATTTTGGTGTAGTGAGAGAAACCCAGCAGCATTGAGCTGAGAGCCAGGAGATTTGGGTACTGGTCTCGCTTCACCTTCTAATTTGCATTGTGCAAGTCATTCCACCTCTCAGAGACTTTTCTCATCTTTCTAAAAAGGGGCTTTCGTGACACCAGAGGGTGTCTCAAGTCATGCCTGGTCTGGTAGCTCTATGCCAATCAATCACTAGTTGGAAAGTTACTGTCTTAGACTTAACCCAAGTAGATGGAACTGAGATGGTGAACTACAAGTAAACTTACAGGTACCAGGGGGGTTTTTTTGGAGGCAATTCTTCTTTTTCCCCCTCTCTGACCAGCTTGGATTTTCTGTGGTTTATTAAGTAACATATAGAGGAGCAGAGATCCTTATTATAAGGCCCCACAGTATAAGGTCACCAAAAACATCTGATCCTCTGCCATAGGAACAGAGTCATTCTTATGAAATACTCCCCAACCTCTGGCTGCACCTGACAACCGTTGGCATCATGGCTCCTCCCAAGATGGGGCTGTGGGTCGCTTACTTCACAGTGCAGAATAACTCTGAGGTCATGGTGGCTGAGCCCCAGCAGAAGGAATGAATTACCGACTATTCTCTGAGCTCCTTCCACACGGTGTTGCCTAACCTAGCAGGGGCAGGCTCCGTCCTTTGTTCATCCCCAGTTGTGCCTCTTTGTCCTCAAACACCATCCTTTGGGGTACTGCCCCTCATTCTTCCTCTTTGGTGTCTTCTATCTGGTGGTGGTTCCGAGAGAGAGTCATCTTCTTTCTTCTCTTATGTTTGAGCCAAGGTACACAGTCTGGGCCTTACCATCAGCCAGTCCCCTGAACAGTGTTGATCAAAGGGTTCCTTTGAACATCGTACATATTTAAATTGTAGCAGGCCATTGAGGTGAGCAAGGTAGTTGTTTTGTCTGTGTGAAGACAGCCCCTCCCCCCCACTCTTCCGGTCTTCGCAACGATGCGCTCTGCCTTTTGTTAAGTGGCGTCCTTGGAGACATGGCCCTGAGTCCCTCTGATAGAACTCCCCTGCCACCTTCCACGGCCCTCTCACAGGACCCAACCACCACAAAGTCACAACTGCCCGTAGGGCTGCTGGGCTCTGGCGGGAAGGATGGCATCGTGGAGGTTGTACCCAGAGAGTTCCAGCAGCATCCAGCCATCTTGTTGTTGATCCTGAGTTTCCTGGTGTCCACAGGTATGCTCAGGTTTTCCCCAGGGAAGCTCTGTATTTCACTGCTGTATATTCTTGTTCGGTTGACTTTGAGTGAGTCCCAGGAAGTTTACCAGCTAGTGTTTCCTTACTATGATCGTGGCTTGTTGGCTTTTTCAGATGAGATAATACAACCTACACATTTCCCATTTGAAATAGCTTGTCTTGGGGAGCAGACGGAGGGGGTAGCCAGTGGTCTTAATGGCCATCTCTGCTCATGCAGAGTAGATGTTGTTGAGAAAGGGCAGGACTTTGTGTCAGCAGGATCTGAGGACAGGCCTCACACAACGCACACTAAGATGACCCTGGACTTGCACATGAGGTTGCTTAAGAGGAGATGTAGATCCTACCTTCTCTTTGGCAATGGCATTGTTGTGTATGGGGGTGGCTTGTTAATCACTGAGAAATGAGTCTCCCGGGTGCTACTGATGAAAGTGGGGTTTTTCCCCCCTTTGCTGTGGATGCAGCTGAGGCTCCAGGCAGCCTGAGCTTGTTCCTCAGTGTCAGGGAGTGAGATCGCCTCAATGGGGCGGGGCCGGACATGCTGCTGACCTCACCACTGAGCGCCCTGGGCGGCCACTGTGAGGGCTCGTCATTTTCGAGTTGGTGAGACACAGCGGCGGTGGACCTGGAAGACGCGCTGGTGGTAGAGGTTGGATTATTTGTAGCTCTTGGGGGCTTTTTCTTCAAATATTTGGGAGTTTGGTTGAAAATATGCAGTTCAGGGACAAAAGGGACTGTAATCTACTTTATTTATCATGGTCATCATTGTAATTTTGGTCTCTTTGTGGGGAATGGCCTAAAATTGGGACCAAGATGGGAAAGAAGAGAGAGCAATACCAGGATGCCCTAGCTTACCCTTTCATCTGGGCAAACCAAAGGTTAATGCCATAGCACCACCGAGTGAGGAATGGGGTGGGCATCTCTCAGAAGGCATGGCTAGCAACTTCTGGGCTCTTGAGTGGGTCAAGCAGACCATTCTGGTTTGGCTTCTCTGCTGAGGCGAATTTTACTAACCCCAACCCTGGGTGATGTAAGATTTTATTTTAGCAAGAGTGGTAGTGGTACCATTTTGGAATGAGTGATTTTTGTAGGGAAGAAGGGTGATGGGGGTAGTGAGAATCTTCTAAGGTAGAAACTCCTAAGGCCTCATTAATTTATTTTCAGCAATTTCAGTACAATCTTGGGTAATTTATGGCTGGCCCACCTGCCGCCCTGGTGTATGTTTGTAAACACTGGTTGCTACCCTCCCTGTCCAAGTTTCACGTCCCCTGTTTCAATGCCACGTTCTCCATTTTTGGTGCTGCCCGTCAAGAAGAGCGGCTGCTCAGTTACCGTTTTAGCAATGCTGTGTCAGGTTGGGAAGGGTGACCAGAGGCGCAGGAGCCCCTGAGATTGAGTTACCGTCCTAATTTACAGACCCCTCCCCGGTGTGACCTATGTCACATGCTGTCAGCCCTGTACTTCTTTCTCCCCCAACCTGGAGAAAGAAGGAAAACTTGGGGATTTGCAAACTCTTTGCACGAACTATGATCAGTTTTATCTAAAAGTTATTTCTAATAGGATTTCTAAGCACACTGAATAAGAAGGCTGGACAACACTGGGACTTCCAGAATTAGAGCTACCATCTTTGCTATGATATTTATTAGTCTCCCAAGATTGGGCTCAGGGAAATAATTGGTCATTAATCTAAATAGGAACGGGTCCGCTATGCCACCTTCTCCTTAAAGGCAATCTATGCCTTTAAACATTTTTATTATAAAAATTTTCAAGCCCTGGCCAGTTTGGCTCAGTGGTCAGAGCATCAGCCTGTGGACTGAAGGGTCATGGGTTCGATTCCAGTCAAGGACACGTACCTGGGTTGCAGGTTTGATCCCTGGACTGGGTCAGGGTCATTCAGGAGGCAACCAATTGATGTGTCTCTCTCCCATCAGTGTTTCTCTCTCTCCCTCCCCTCTTCTCTTCCGCTCGCTCTAAAAGTCTATATCCTCGGGTGAGGATTGACAGGAAAAATTTGTTTTCAAATATATAGAAAAGAAGGAAAGAGTATAGTGAGCCCCCATATACCTGTCACCAGATTAAACAATTAGTACTGTTTTCCCTATCTGCCTTCTCTTCCTTTGTTTTTTTTTTGGTTGAAAAATTTATAGACTAGCCAGTATTTTAATGTATTTAAATAGGTTTTATGTTTAAACGTAATGTTTTGAAATTAATAAGGCTGGGATATTTTATGGTATAGTATGGACAACATTTTTACTCTTCTATAGATCAGTGTCATGTGATCATTTTGGAGAATTTTTCAAACTTATAATCCTGCTATGACTCACTGGTGGTCAGGTCTCTGGGAAGCATCCCTTCCTCTGAGTGGGAGGGCCCCAGGTGGTCACGGGGGTCCCCAGCTCCTGTTCTGCACAGGTATGTCAGGGTCCGTGCCTGTACTTGCTCTCTGCTATCACAGACCCAAGACTAACAGGCCTGCGTCTGTCCTAGAGGCATTTCCCGGGGGTGGGGGCAGGGGGGTTGGAGAATTACTTCCAGAGGCTGTTACATAGAGAAGATTTGGATAACAGGGGGTTAGACTTGATACAATAAAACCTTCCCTCATAATTCCTGAGAAATGAGCCACCAGGACTGTAGTTCTTCCATGGTCACCAAGGGCTCTGAAGTAAACACCTACAGGCAATACTGAGTCTCTTCCCAAAGGCATGACTGTGCTCAGAAACCAGAGACCCCATGAAGACTTTCTTTCTCTTTCTGCTTTGTTTTTTATTTTTATTTTGGGAGGTGGGTAGACAAGTTTTTCTCCTGTCTCTCAGGGATGTTACGCGGACATATCTATATTCACAAACTCACTGTTGTTATTCTGAACCTGTTTAACACCCAAACGTGCCAAACATTAGCCCTGTGGCAAATGGTGGGGGAATGCAGGCAGCACTTAGGGACTCAGTCTGTCTGCGTTCTTGTCTTGGTTACCCTCCTCACTGGGCACATTGCTTAATCCCTTATTGCCTTCGTTTCTTCATTTATGAAAGAGGATGTAACAGCCACCTCATAGTGTTAGTTTAGGAACACAGTGAACTCATGTGTGCAGAGTGTCTAAGCAGCTCCTCGTACATGGTACGGACTCCAGCATGCAGCTTAATGTTATGATTACTACTGGTTGAACTGCAATGATGATGCCAATAAAAAGGTCAGTTTTGGCTCCTTTTCCAAAGGAGTACAAATAACAGGCTAGGTACAGCAGCGTGTGTGTGTGTGTGTGTGTGTGTGTGTGTTGCTATGGCCTAAAAATAACTTGGTGACTGATCCCTAATTTAAGTAGCATACAGTTGGAGTGCCAAGTAATTACAAAAACATGTTGGGTCAAGAGGCCAGAGTAATTTGGGCCTATCCTAGAATTATTTATTTGCAGGGGAATTTGTAAAAATGTGATGATAAATTTGTCCAGCTAATGCCCCATAGGTCCATAGTGAAAGCATGCAACTATTACGCTTTGCTTTTTCTGGCCTCTCCTCGGGCGGATTTATTTTTGGAAGAGGGATTGTAGTCTGACTATAAAAGGGTCGGAGGAAGGAGGAGACAGTGCACTTCGTGTTGAAAGTTCTCAAAGCTTGGAGCGG